AGGTATGTGGAATGCGACATGTCGCAAGGCCTTTCATGTTTGCCGCAGCTGCAAATGAGACGTTGGGTCTATAAACCTACAGACCACATATAACAAACTCAAAAACAGAAATGCATTTTATGAAATTTCAGAAAGGGCGGCTAATTTCCAAGACTTTATTTTTGCCTCAATTTATACTTCTATATAGGGATTGTTAGTATTGCATTTGAATACTAAACTATCAGATGCTCTAATGCAATTCAACATCAACATTGACTCTACAATTATCATATGAATGTAACGATCTTTTGAACTCCATCATAGATCTCTGTTATTTTATATTTCTGTACTCCATAGGCCAATATTCAAATATACAAAGAAAGCAAAATAGTAAAATTATGGATTCTCCTGCAGGTCCTACACAAGGTAAAAAAAACCGCATCGAAACAGTGACTATCCTACGTATGTCAACGCTACCAGATGAGGCATGTCGACGGTCGAATTGAAGATATGCAGTAATGTAGGATCTGAGAAAATTATCAATGTATCATCATGCTTCTCTCACGAAAATCTAGAACTACCACCAATCAGAATAGTACAAGAACCATTGGGGGTCCTTTCCATCCCATAAGTGGTTACAACATCAAAGAAAGTCACTTCACCTAGAAAATAACTAACAAAAGAAGTAGTTAAACCTGAAACCACCTCCGAGTCGCCGTCCAGTGGTTTCGGTTTACATTATTTAAACACAGATAAGTGAATACATCTCAGTCAGGCACAGGGGACCATTGTACTATAATACTATGCACTATACACAGTAGAGACAGGTAAAATAACCAAAACAGATGAAACAGAAGTTAAAGCACCAAAGACTAACTGCCAACCATAGAAAGTTAGAAATCAATCTGCCTGAAATGCCAAGCAACAGATTGGGAACGTCTTGGAGGTGAGTGGGAGTGCATGGAAGAGTAGCTGCTACGCACATCAACCATATGGGGAAGGTTCTACTTTAGGACACTCACCAAAGAGATTGGTATCTATCACAGTTTATTGTAACTAATAATTTAGGAATTTCAAACGTAGACAATATACCTGTCTTCTTAAATACGGAACATAGAATAGTGGTAGGAGCAGATACAAAATTATTGAAATGAGATATTCTTATAACCTGATATTGTATATGTGAAAGAATTAAACACAACATGCAACAATTTCTTGCAAATTTGTTTGCAAGAAATTCATCACCATCACCATAGTTACATCAACCCCCACGAAATAGTAGGAATGCTTCTGTAATTACTTTGATTTTTCATGCATTTGTTCCTGTGGTTCAACCTTTTGAAAGTTCATTTCGTATCGCTCGATAGGAATGGAATTTTTGTCCCGCCATCTTGTTTTATTTTTCACATGTTCCATCGAAGTTCTATTCTAGTTCTCTATTTTGGTTAATGAAACATTTTCATCAACAGTGGATACAGTTTGCAACTTTCATACCCGTCTGTGAGTTTCGAAATCTTCAACCTCACTAAAAAGCAGTCTGAATGAAAACACATTCTCATGAAACCCATGTCTTTCAAGCTTGAGTTCATTTTCATCAAACGCTTGCTAAAAAAAAAAAGGATATGCATTAACCACTGTCATCCAAATAACTAGCTTTTCCTTTGTCTGTAAATTTAGCACCAGAAGAAAGTTATAATTTATGATACGGATTCACAATAGAGTTTCAACGACATAAAACTACCAACAGAATATGCAAATGGATATATATTATGCTGTAATATAAAAGCACCGTTAGAATGGAAACACAATAACAATGCAGTAAAATGATGAATTTTCCTATTTCTGATGGACCGTGATGATTTAAATGATTGTGTTCATAGATGTGATGATTGTTAGTTGAATTAGAACGAGTTATTTCAGTTTTGATTGGAAATATTCAAAACAAAACGTCAATATTGTAACTTTACAACTGTCAACAAATAGTTTATGACGAACATTGAAAAATATACATGAATCCTTCAAAAACTTTCGATTGTACATGGATTTTAGAAGATTATTAATCAGCCTTCCATAGTAACCATGGCCCAGACTCATTGATGTGGAAAATATATAGTGTTGGAGTTGAATTATCTATTCACAAAACGGAATCTTCCGAGAATTGCACAAAAATACATTATATGAGTCAAGATGACAAAAAATTACGTTATTAGAAGATGAACTTAATTAATTCCAACCTAAATTCAGTCTACTTATATACTATGGAGAAACGTCATTCTTGATTTCTGCTTATTGTTTCAAAAAACTATCTGCAGACAATGATATCTTCATTCACCAGAGTGAATGCCACTACAAGTTTTATGATCTTTCTGTGGGACTGTTCGAAAAATTGAAGTTCGTAAGCGGTGCTGTTGAGACTATAACAAAGGTTGAAGAAGTTGCAAAAGTCCACGAGCAGTTCAGTAATTTATACAGAAATGTTTCAAAGGAAGAAATGGCTTTAAATCTTCCAGCATCTATTAAGAAGACATTTTTGTTTCAAGTCTTGATTCGAATAACAGTGTTGATCCAACAAAAAAGTCTTTCTATGCCCATCATCTCCTAATAATGGCCTCAATCAAGCTGACGTTATTTGAAGATGAAATCAACTGATTTCAGAGCGAGCTCCCATTTGCACTTCCAAACATACTCCAATAATTTCTGAAGAACAAATCAACGGGGAATTTTCGAGAATGTTCTCATTAACTTGAAGAAAATGAATATTACTGGAGTTTTATCCCTACATCAAACCATCATTTTGACACCTCAACACGTGTTTTGATCACCAAGTGATCATCTTTAATTTTCTCTTCAATCTTCATCTTGAAGATGATCACTTGGTGCTCGAAACACGTGTCGAGGTGTTGAAATAACGGTTTGGTGTTGAGATAAAACTGAAGTGATATTCATTATTACACCAAAGGTTCCAAACAGTGCATTGGAAAAAGTGATTTTATGAAATATAAGACACGGTGCAATCCATAATGTGACCTCAATCGCTATTTATAGTTCTCGAACCTCACTTTCCTAATTCTAGTGATGCACTGTTTGGAACCTTTGGTGTAGTAATGAATATTACTGGGAAAAAACTCCAGTAATATTCCTAATTTTAGACTATCGAAAGCATACAGAAGATCAGTTTCATATACCTTACAAAAGATAATCAGCTACTATATGAACGTAATCCAAAACGTGATATTTGAAATAAGTTTTTATATCTCGATCAATATAACCAACATACACTTAACGACATTTTGTATTTCTGGTAATCTAATACTTCGAACCTTGTCATTGACTAATATGCGTGGTTTGAGTTTTCTGTCCATAGATGGCGTTATCGTCAGTGGGGATTTATCTGTTTACTCACATTGAGGTTTATTTTTTGAGGACAGTTGAGTTCAACAACATCCATACCGGATGTTTGAGGTAAGGATGTCTTAGGGCCTCCATACCGTCATCCATCCCCAGTTAGTTGTATGTCTGGATTCCTGGCCATACTTGCCTGGAAGACAATGAGGCTGCTGACTCCCTTGCAAAGGAGGGTGCAGCAAGCAGCTTCATCGGACCAGAACCTGTCATTGGCATCGCTTTAGGCTTTGCCAAAGAAAGATTGAACACCTGGATGGCAAGAAGATTTATGAACTTTTGGCAGAATCTTCCAGTATTGGCTCACTGTAAGACGTTTATTTACCCTTCAAAGCTTGATTCCAAACAGTTGTTGGACTACAGTAGGGATGAACTACGATGTGTAACAAGCCTTCTTACAGGTCACTGTCATTTGAATCATCATATGCAAAGACTCGAAGTGTCGGAAGACAGTGTGTGTCGCCTTTGTTTGGAAAATGATGAAACAGCAGAGCACATAATTCGTGCTCGCCCCGTTAGGGATCAAATCAGGTTTTTACAGTTCGGCAGAGCCGTACTCTTATTATCTAACCTGATAGACCATTCCCTATACAAAATAATCGGCTTCATTAAGAGGGTTTATTTGGTCGAGTGTGAATAGGTGTGAGCCACAATAAACCTTTGCGGGTTGCAGTGGCGATCGAATAGACCCACTCATTTCGAACCTAACCTAACCTAGTTGTATGTCGTTTGAACTCCTGACGAGCACACTTTGAAAGGGTAGGAGAGGTAGGCTCCATCTTGAATAAATTAAAACGATATATCAATACATTCGTGGTTGAACTTAGCACCACTATTGAACATGTCTAAACAGAGCTATCTGATCTAGTGTCACGAATGCCTCATTATTGGGTTTAGTTTTGACCGTTTCATCACCGACATCCATGCTTACTATACCAAGGATGTTCCATTAAGAACAATTCAGTTCAACAATGGGGGTTTAGCCTAGCACAATAATAAGGCCTACGGCAAAGTTAGTTTTGAAGGAGAATAGAGCCCAACAATGCAATTGCATTGGATGGATGGTTTTTGGGCTCATCAGAATTTCAACATAACAATTGTTGAAATGAACACGCGGTTTTGGAAGCTTCTGAGACACGTATGAAAAGCTATGTGGATAGCTGACATACGTCATAAGAAATACAGCTATTCACATGCCTCAAACGTCAAAAGAAATACACTTATTCACATTGAGCCGAAAGTTTTCGAATTTTCAATTTTTTTTTTATCTTGTAGGCAAACTTCATGAATACGACAGGTGACTGACTATTTGTACTCTTCGGTGGGTGATATTACGCAGTTATATTCCAGTTAGTTTTTTATTACACCTCAGCAGATTCTTAATTGATCCAGCTTTGTTTATTATTTGGTTTGTGGAAAGTTTCATACCTAAAAAAACAGTAACAAGTTATTGTACGGGTTATAATAATACCGATAAAGGTGATAACAATAATGACGAAACAATTTTGTTGGTACTTGTGCAGGCCGTGCCTCAAAAGAAAAGCGGAAAAATGAAGAATTGTGAAAAAAGCCAAGGAGGATCATAAAAACAGTATGTGCTAGTTCACTAATAGTGTTACCCCTGTAGTTATGTGGTTCTCCACCAGGGAAGGTTTCTTCTTCTTCATAATCGTAATCCTCAGCAGGGTCTTCTTCGTGATAGGTCGGCCTGTTGTGGGGTCTAGCAATCGGCCTGTAAGGTTTGTCCACGGTGTTGAGGTCTGGATCGTCTTCAGAATCCGGGGGGTAATAGCTTACTAGATGGTATGTGTCTGAGTTGTATTAGGTTAATAATGTTATTATAATTAGGTTACAAACAATGATTACTTCTGGAAATAGATAACGGTAATGTTTTGCTAAATTTTCAAATTGGATTTCGGTTATTGTGATGGAATATCAAGAATTACTAAGGTACTAAAATATTTAGGACCCCCAAGTCAGCTTTGAATCTGTTGAATCTTGAATAATAATATTTTGAAAGTATCACTATATAGGTACCCTACCCAATATGTGAACAGTAATCAAAATGAGTACTAATCTTCTTCCAGCTGCCTCATTTTAGTGAATTATTTCAAACTATCTATTCCAAAAACACTTTTTTTCAATTTTTCAAGGGGTTCATATCGAGTGCATTAAATTTCAACTATCAGAAGTTGTACAAATCCATACTTTTTGAAATTTCGCTAAGCAAAGCCCCATGTTTTTCAGAAGGAAATCTGGATTGAAAAATCATTCAGGAGGCCTTTTTTTCTATATATTATATCTATTTTTCCAAAATCAGTCCATTTTTTTTTCGAAAAATTCGAAGTCTTCATTAAAAAAATAAATAAAAAATTGTTTTTTGTATTAAAGAAAATCACTAATGAATAACAACAATGGTAAAAATGTTCTTCCACAATAATAATACAAAACCTGTCCTCAGAATATTCAAATCGTCTATTAGAGTCAAATTTCTCGAGCAATTTTATGTCGCAGCTGTTGTAGATTTGTGAGCTAAGAAGCGTACTTTTGACCTACAGCTGTCTCTACAGAAAGACTGCAAGCCCCATATTCCGGGGTTCACATGAAATCGTTTTTAAACGAATATTTTCCCAAGCGTTGTATCGACAAAAAGATCAGTGGAATAGCCAGCTTTATCACCTGATTTGTTACCGTTAATTTTTTTTTTATGATTCATCACCGTTCTTGCAGATTTCCAAGAGCTGAATGATACCAAATCCTTTGTCTAGGTCATTTGAGAGGAGTCATGATTTGGTAATCTTGCTTTCATTGTTATTACTTAATGAAAGCCATTCTTGGATTTTTTCCTCATCGAAATTGAAGATAATAAAATTGTGATTCGAGTGATGTATCACTCGATTCTCCATGCCAGATGAAAAAGTACATTCCACTTCACAAATCACATTCAATGAAAAAAATCATTAAATCTACTATACAAAATTGGATGTTTGTTGGTTGGTTGGTTGATTGGTAAGTGATAAACTTATACATCGCTCAACCGATCGTGATGAAACTTGACATGTATAAGTAATTTTTCATAGAGAAGGTTTTTGGGCTATCAATTTTTCTGTAACTCGTCACTAGATGGCGCTGTAGAAAAACTTTTTGAAAGTACTGTTCTATAACGCTGCGTTCGTTGATTCTGATTCTGTCAAAACATTGGAAGAGCAGCGATACAGATACAGCAACATAGTACTAGTGTCTTATAAAAATTCGTAATTGAGTGAAAATAATACACAAAATAAAAAGCTTTCAACGTAAAGTACTTTTTACGTGTTTTAGAAAGATTAAAATTAGTTTCTCCGACTTGAGTCGGAAGTAGGTATGACGATTTATATAATTTAATTTTTTGTGTCATAAGTAAATGGTTCCCCCTTGTGTTGTAATCGAGGTAATCAGTATTTTGTTCAAGTTCATTCAGTTGGTCTGAACGGCCACCGATAGACCATTTTCGGAGTAGTAGCTCCTAGTCAGGACCTCGTCAGTCATTTCAGATGCAGTGAACCGTCGGAATATCCCGATCAAACAGTGGAAAGTCGTCTTGATTTCGTGCAGCTTGGAGTCTGGCTCTCTTACCTTTTCAACTGACGTTTTTTAGATGGACAAATGGACAAATGGCGACATGAATGTCTACAGACATCAGTGCCGCCCTACCTGGCTAGAGTGAGGTGGATGAAAAGATTGTTCATCTCTTAACGGAGGACTTAGGGGCCTCATTCGACAGAGTGTCGGGGCCTTCTATATCGGGAGAGGTCGTCTACAGCATAATCCATAGCTTCCCTAACTAACGGTCCCGATCAAACAAAATCAATTTCAATTAGTCATAAGCTCCATCTGTAGTTGAGTCAGTAGGATATACCACTGTGCTACCTGCTGAAAAATTCCGGAAACCACTACGCAACACATACTCTGAGGTGGGAGTCAGAAGGATGAAACATATATTGCAGGGACATGCTCAAATAGAAGTGGAAACACTTCACCCTTGCCTCTCATAGACCGGGAGCCCGTGACAGAAATTTTGACCTCATTTTTTACCGTCTGCCTTTTTCAGAGGACATATTTACATCTGCAAGCAACAGTTTTATGCGTTGAACAAATGTTTTCCCCATGTTACACATGCTCAAACATTAACTTTAGTTTACATTAAAAAAAAGCTTCTTTGACCAACATTTTACCGTCTGCCAGTATTGCGACTGGAAGGCTAGGTTACGCAACCTACAAAAATAAATAATTGGTAAACGGTGACACGTTGTTCTAACTGAAGCATGCATTTTTTATTCAACCAAAAAATTTGTTTACTAAAATCAATTTTTTACCGTCTGCCAAGCACAGCGTAGACTAACAGTAGCATGAAATGAACGAATTTCCACACGGCAGACGGTTTGCCTGTGTTTTAATCATTTATAGGCATTCGTTAATTAACAATTCATTTACAGTGCTTCTGAACCATTTTTTACCATCTGCCTCTTAAATGTAATAAAGTTCCATAATTAAAATGTCCTGCGACAACTGTTGTCATACAAATTGGCAATGTTTTAAGTATAGGCAGACGCGAATGAACTTGCAAAAAAAATTAATAACTTCTACTTACATTTTACCGTCTGTCATTGTTTCCTTTCAATATATATGATTATTAAGTAGATTAATTGTCAGTTGGCAGACGAATTAACCGTGTTTATACAACTGAAAAATAGTTTTCAATTTGCATAAAAAATGTAATAACTTTGACCAACGTATTACCGTCTGACATTGTTTCCTTGCAATATATAATTATTGAATAGATGAACTGTCAATTGGCAGAAGAATAGAGCGTGTTTAGACGAGAGTGGTAGACAATTTTTCAAGACACAAGTGTCAATGGCACATTCATAAGAGATTTTCATCAATTTTAGTGGAGAACACCCTTAAAACGACACAACTTCTATTACCATTTTTTTCCACAGTTGTTTCGATGAAGGAGGAATAAATAATGATGAATGTACGAGATTGAGAAATACATAAACAATATTTTCATTCCAATATCGACATAAAAACTAAATATCTTCCATCTGATTCAATGGTTTCTTGAGAAATATTCAAATCATCGCTAACGTGACTCGTTATACTGCGTTCTGAATAGTCATCATTATTATCATCATCATGATATTCAGCAATAAACCATAATAAAAATGTCCTGCGACAACTGTTGGCAGACAAATTGGCAATGTTTTAAGTATAGGCAGACGCGAATGAACTTGCAAAAAAAATTAATAACTTCTACTTACATTTTACCGTCTGTCATTGTTTCCTTGCAATATATATGATTATTAAGTAGATTAATTGTCAGTTGGCAGACGAATTAACCGTGTTTATACAATTGAAAAAAAGTTTTCAATTTGCAAAAAAAACGTAATAACTTTGACCAACGTTTTACCGTCTGACATTGTTTCCTTGCAATATATAATTATTGAATAGACGAACTGTCAATTGGCAGAAGAATAGAGCGTGTTTAGACGAGAGTGGTAGACAATTTTCAAGACACAACTGTCAATGGTACTTCATAAGAGATTTTCATCAATTTTAGTGGAGAACACCCTTAAAACGACACAACTTCTATTACCATTTTTTTCCACAGTTGTTTTGATGAAGGAGGAATAAATAATGATGAATGTACGAGATTGAGAAATACATAAACAATATTTTTATTCCAATATCGACATAAAAACTAAATATCTTCCATCTGATTCAATGATTTCTTGAGAAATATTCAAATCATCGCTAACGTGACTCGTTATACTGCCTCATCATTGACCTGAGCAAATTCAGTACGATCTACAACAATCTAATAATCAAATTTAGTGATACAGTTTAAAGGATGTGAAAAATAATTTAAACGGTATGTGAACATATGCTACTGCATTTATTTTTTCGATTAATTACGTTAGGTAGTGTTTTCGATATTTCATGCTGGATTTTCATTTTATTAAGTTCTCATAATATTTTAAATACTGTCATACCTGCAGATGTTAATATAATTTTCTTGAATGTTTTCAGGCGTATCAGGTCCTTCGAACCAGTTAAATGTATACTGTTCTGTGACAGCATCATTGTGACACCAGCCATAATTCAATAGGTCTGATTAGTATGGAATTTTTTCATAAGAATTGGCCACATGTTTGTATATGCTATCATTAAATTCGTCGCTTCAACTCTCTGGCCCATGGTGATAGATTGGATGCGTCAAACGATGTTACTTGTTTCTTGAGAAACTCCATGTCATCTATCACTCCGTAATGTCTTTCAAATATCCGAACTCTCGCTTCAGACTAGGGCTTGAACCACCTACCAACACGGCAGACAATTCGAGTGAGTGAACAAAGCACCCACGTCGAACCGCCTGGTTACCGTCGAACCATGCTTGAGACTTTGGATAACTTATTTTTGGTTGTTCCATACACATACGGCACACAAATTCTTCCATTATTGGTGCAGTGTCGGTAACCAAAGAAGCGACATCTTCAAACTTTTCATTGCCCATTAAAATCGACAACTTTTTTTTTACCCTTTTTGTGAAAAGCTGGTGTAAAATAACAGCCGGTTAAGGCATGGAATGCAGGTAAACCAGCGCAAAGCTGGAAGCCAAATTGTGAAGTAACATTGACACTTGTGTCATCACAAATTGTCTACCAGTCTCCTCTGAACACGGTCAATTCGTCTGCCAACTGACAGTTTGTCTACTTAATAATTGAATATTGCAAGGAAACAACGGCAGACGGTAAAACGTTGGTCAAAA